CAAAAAAAAAAAAAAAAAAAAAAAAAAAAATAGCCATAAGATATTGTTTTACCTATGTGTTTTGGGGTATTTGCCCTGTGCCTGGCAGCCTCACCTTCAAACTTCTCCCTCCCCAGTTTCCCAGTTGCTGGGAAAGGGCCCTGCTGCCCACCCGAAACAGGCCTCCTTGCTCCCTGCTTTCCCGCCTGGTGTAGCCTGCAGAAGCTCTTGCTGGGATGATAGCAGAGGCCACCTGGCTGGCCCTGGGCCCAGTCCTGTACCTGAATGCCATGTACTCAATTCCAAGGGCAGGATGCCTGGGTGGAGGGGCCTGACTCCACGTGAACGGACAGTGGGCGGCTTGCCCTCTGAACCAGCCCACGTGACTGCCACTGATATTGAACTGAGCCATTGAGCCTTCTTGGCCATCCTAAGACTAGGGGAGCATCCTCAGCCCACTGGTCACCTGTGCCCTCACCATGCTTTGGTCCCTGCCCCTCCCCCTACTTGACCACACTGCCCATGGGGTTTTGAACAACTGCAGACCAACTAAATTACTTGTCCAAGGTCCTCCAGACCATGAGAGACTTGGCTGGGGCTCAAATCCAGCCCAGACCTGGCTGCTGCCCGCAGGGCCCCTCTAGAGGTAGGGCCTGGAGGAGGAAACCTGAATGTCCCCTTCCCCTTAGCTGTGGGGTGGAGGGCCACCTTGTTTGGCCCCAACTTTGCCCTAGATCCTGGCCCCAGCTGCTGCCATCCCAGGCCTTGATGCCAGCCCTGCTCTGGCATATCCTGCCCACTGGGACACATGCCCAGGAAAGGGATTATCACCTCAAGGTCTTCAGATAACAGCCTGGTGCACAGGGATATAATGGGGAGCCCTCCAGGCAGGCATCCTACACCCCCCTGACTGTGGCACCATGACCTTCCTCTGGCTTCTCTCCTGCGGCGCCCTCCTGGGCACGGCCTTTGGTGAGCACCAGGGCAGGCAGAGGCCGGGAAGGCTGTCTACCCTTCCACCAACTGCTGGAAGGGGTGCTGGCCCCACCAACCCCAAGGCCAGCAAGGAGCAGCGGGGTCCCTGCTCCCAGTTCAGTTTTGCGTGGTGGTGTGAGCCTGAGCGAGTCTTTCTCCCTCTCTGAGGCTCACCAGCTCCATCTCTACAATGAGGATGCTGGGAGGACTGGCCCAGACCAGCCAGTGTGAGGCCCCCGGGGTGGAGGTGGACCTTCCTGGGGCCTCGCATAGTGTGCAAGGAGGGGCAGCAATTCCAGAGGGACAGAAATCTCTGTGAATAGTTGGTGGCTCCCAAGCAGGCTCAGATGATGAGCAAGTGTGGCTTGGCCCCCATCAGCCCTTTCATGCCCTTGAACCAGCCCTTTTAAACTTTTCCACTTTTGTTCACTGTGTGCCAGGAACTGAGTGAGTTCCTGCTTTGCCTGCTTTGTCTACTAAGGCAAAGCATCTTTCATCCTTATTATACCAACTCTGTGAGGTTAGCCAACTGTAAGATCCCCATTTTGCTGGTGGGAAAACTGAGACTCAGAGTGGTTAAGGTAGGCAGTGATAGGGCCTCCCAGCCCAGGCTTTGGCCCCACCACCACCTCAAGCTCAGCCTGTTGGGCTTGTCTGGGCTGGAGCATATGTCAGCCTGAATTGTCCCCGGAGTATTCCTGGGGCGGTGAGTCCTGGGTGGGACCTTGGCCTCCACCCCTCACTCCATACTTCCACCCTCAGGCTGTGGGGTCCCTGCCATCCATCCTGTGCTGAGCGGCCTGTCCAGGATCGTCAACGGGGAGGAGGCTGTCCCTGGCTCCTGGCCCTGGCAGGTGTCCCTGCAGGTGAGAGGGGAATTCTGCACACGAGTAGGGGAATACACTGGGGTATTAGCCCAGCTGGGCACTGCTGCCCAGATTGGTTTTGCTGGTGTCTGGGCAGGGCTGACCCTCCCCATCTTCCTCTAGGACAGCACCGGCTTCCACTTCTGCGGGGGCTCCCTCATCAGCGAGGACTGGGTGGTCACCGCCGCCCACTGCAGTGTCAGGTGAGAGCCCGAGGTCCCCAAGAAACCCCTTGGGGTGGTTTCCTCCAGCACTGAGGACTTGCCCTTTAACGCCTTCATTTCCCAGTTTCTTATTTGGAAATGTGTAGCAAACCCAGGTCCTTCTAGTGACCTAGGGGTCCCTGGGAAAACACATGGCGGGCTGTAGGCCCAGTTGAGATTCTGAGCTTCCATCTCTGATCGACACCACAGCCGTGTGTGCAGACGCACAAAGACACGCATGCGCATTACGCCTGCAACGCGTGCACTCACACACATAAGTACTCTGCACCCCAAATGCCCCCCTCACGGCAGGAACCACTCCTTTCTCTGACCCTCTCCAGAACATCCCATCTGGTCGTGGCCGGGGAGTTTGACCAGGGCTCAGACGCCGAGAACATCCAGGTGTTGAAGATTGCCAAGGTATGGCAGCCCCCAGGGTCCAGGTGTGACCCCAGGCAGGATGGACCCTCGGGAGTGTGCAGCCCAGGCTAACCCCCAGGGCCCCAGCTCCTCCCGGTCACCCCAATACCCCATCATGATGGGGCAAAGCAGAAAGCAGGGTATGCAAGGCTCCACGAGAGGAAGGTCTGTACCTTGGGCCTGGGCCTCGGGCTCCTGGGGCCATGGAAGGAGCTGCCGAGTTGAACAGGCCATTGTCCACGGAGGAGCACTGAGGCCATGAGGGGTAGCCTGGTGCCAGGTTCTGCCCTGGTCGGCTTCTTCCCAAACCCCAAAGGCAGCTGTCTGGCCCTGCCCCACAGGTTTTCAAGAACCCCAGGTACAACCCGTTCACCAGCAACGACGACATCACCCTGCTGAAGCTGGCCACGCCTGCACGCTTCTCCGAGACCGTGTCTGCCGTGTGCCTGCCCAGCGCTAATGATTACTTCCCCGCCGGGATGCTGTGCGCCACGACTGGCTGGGGCCTGACCAAACACAACAGTGAGTGATGAGAGACCACTGGCTGGCCAGGTGGGAGGTAGGGGCAGCAGTCACTAACCACCCACCCTGCCCTTCCAGATGCCAACACCCCCGACAGGCTGCAGCAGGCAACTCTGCCCCTCCTGTCCAACACCAAATGCAAGAAATACTGGGGCAGCAAGATCACCAAGAGCATGGTCTGCGCCGGTGCCAGCGGCGTGTCCTCCTGCATGGTATGGCCTCCTAGGCTCCCTTCCCTCCCAGCTTGGGGTGGGTGCAGGCCAAAGCCCAGGCCAAGGGCTTGGGCAAAGAGAGAAGCAATGGAAGTAGCAGGCAGACCTCTTTCTAGGGCCTGCCACTCTCCCTGGGCATTACTGCCTGAGTAGTTGGGAAGATAGGGCTCCTGGAGGGTCATCAGCGACCTCAGCAGAGAGGTACCAGAGCAAGGGGCTCTGGTCTCAGAGCTGCCATATTGCAAGATTCCACTAATATCAAAGTCTGAGTAATGGCACCTCCTGGAATTGTGCAGTGCACAGCCTGGGCAGCAGAGCATGGTGGCCCAAAAGGGCTCCAGAAGGGGTCTGGCAGCCCTTCCTCCCGCACAGTAGCCCCACGGCCAGCACCACCCATGCTTTCCTCCTATCAATGAAACCTGCTCTATTGAGCCTCTGTTATAGGACCCCACCCCAGGGGGTAGCCCAGACTTCCAGGGGCACAAACCACAGCAGCTGCTGAAGTTTCTTTCATAATCCTTCTCATATGCATGTTCTGAGCTTCTACTGGCTATCAGGCCTGGGGCTGGGCTCTGGGAACAACGTTCAGTGGCCTCTGGGCCAGGCCACCTGGGCTGCCAGATCCAAGCCCCCTCCTCCCTGTCCTGCAGGGCGACTCGGGTGGCCCCCTGGTCTGCCAGAAGGATGGAGCCTGGACCCTGGTGGGCATCGTGTCCTGGGGCAGCGGCACCTGCTCCACCTCCAGCCCCGGCGTGTATGCCCGCGTCACTGCACTCATCCCCTGGGTGCAGCAGATCCTGGCAGCTAACTGACGACCAGGCTTCACCACGGCCTCTCTGCTGACCTTGCTTCCACAAAGCCTCAATAAACCAGTGGAAGACATGCTGATGGTGTCTGTGACCTGTTTTGGGGCTTCTGAGAGTCCACTCTGCTCCTGAATTTGGACCTTCACTGAGCCAGGTGTCCGGGGGTGTCCAGGAGGGCCCCTCCTTAGTCCACCTCCCAAGAGTGGCCAGGAAGGGCACAGGCAGATAAAGGGGGACCGTGGCCCCCACCTCTCACCTCATGCTCCCACCTCCAACTTCGGGGTCCTCACCATCCACCCCCGGCTCAGTGTGCCCAGGGCCTGCCCACACACCTGTGATTCCAGGAAACCTTCCCAGGAGTGGCCCCCAAGGGCTCAGGCTGGCGCTGGAGCCAGGTGCTTCTCAGCCCAAGGTCTCATGATAAGGAGGGGATGGCGAGGCAGGCTAAGATTGGTGGCCTGAGGGAATATATTGGGCGGTCCCTCGGGCAGACCCCATCTCACCTGCTGAGTCACGTACCATGGCCCTTCTCTGGGTTGTCCTTGGCTTCTTCCTCTTTGGCAGCAGCTTCGGTAAGTGCGAGGCTCAGGCAGGCCCGGCAGCCCCAGGCCGAACCTCGCCCACCCCCTGACCCCCCACCCCGAGGCAGGGAACAGGAGGGCCCTAGTCCTCGTACCTCTAACACCCCTGCCACCTGCCCCTCCAGCTGCCCCCTGAGCCTCCTTGGGCTGCTCTGCGCAGCCGCCCACTGGGCGCTCCTGGAGCCCCCTGCGCTGCCTGGAGGTCCCGTGGGCCCTGCCTAATTTGGCCTCCTCCATTCACTCAGCAGCTGGGGTGCTCTGGGCTCCTCCACCCTCCAAATGTGCCACCAAGTTGTGTGAATGCTGCCTTGAGAACGTCCCCCAGGCCCATCCATCTTGCCCTGCACCTCCGCCCTCTGGATCTGGACAGCCTCCTGCATGTGTGCCACCCCAACTGGGGTAACAACCTCACCCAAACCCGCTCCCCCTGCAGACTCAGAGGCCATGAGAGCCCCCAGGACTCAAGCAGGACATCCCAGCCCCCAGGACAGAATCCTGGGCTCAGAGTGGGATGGACACTTCCCTCAGGGCACAGAGCAGGCTGGGAAGCCTGGGCCCCGACTCCAGATACCCTCAGCCTCGGGGACCGTCCACAAGGGCACCTTCTAAGGGCAGCTGTCAGCTGGACCGGTGGGGGGCTGAATTCCTTGCAGCGGACAAAACGCTGAGTGCCAGGGTGCCACAGAGGCCTGGAAGTGCTGACTTCCCCTGACCCCCTTGGGGCACCACCCACTGACCAGCCGCACTGCCCTTGCCCCTCAGGCTGCGGGGTACCCCCCATCGACCCTGTGCTGAGCGGCCTGTCCAGGATCGTCAACGGGGATGACGCTGTCCCCGGCTCCTGGCCCTGGCAGGTGTCCCTGCAGGTGAGGGGGAGTCTGGGGAGGGGCAGGTTAGACAGGGAGGGCTCACACAGGAGAGGCAAAGCTGACTCTCCATCCCCCCGTCTCCGCAGACTAGCTCCGGCTTCCACTTCTGCGGGGGTTCCCTCATCAGTGAGGACTGGGTGGTCACCGCCGCCCACTGCGGGGTCAGGTGAGGCCTGGGCTGGGGCAGGAGGGGCCCCCACCTCACCTGCCTGAAGAGACCACCTTCACTCGCCCCTAACCCCAACCGGGCGCTGC